AGTTGTGTATATATAACTTATGTGAATATTGATCGGCCCAAAGGAAGATCAATATTTAACAGAATTACATGTGCACCTGTGGTAATAAACGCGTGATAATTATTCAGTTTTACATGTGAACAATAAATCAGCCCAAAGGAAGATTTATTGTTTAGCGTGTTCTTATTATCAGTGTTTGATTACTACACCAAGATATCACTTACAAGTTAACATTTTGTCCAAAGATGAAATGTTAATGGAGTGCCCGGTATCTTGAGATGGGATTTACCTTTATTTGAATTTAATTTTTATTTTGGGACTTATGTGAGCTTATTTTGTTTGTTTGTTTGTTGTTCTCTGTTTAGCTATGACTCCTGCTAATATTACTGCCAACATCAACTCTATTCCTATGCTAAATGGCTCTAACTTTAAGTCATGGCAAGAGAACCTCTTGATAGTTCTCGGAGTCATGGATCTCGACCTTGCGTTAAGGGTTGATTCTTCTCCACCTCTTACGGATAAGAGTACCTCTGATGAAAAGAGGGATATGGAAAGGTGGAGAAATCAAATCGCATGTGTATGATGATTATGAAGAAGGCCATTCCGGAAGCATTCAGGGGCACAATGTCTGATAAAATTACTACAGCTAAGGAGTTCCTTGCGGACATTGAAAAGAGGTTTGTCAAGAACGAAAAAGCTGAAATAGGTATGCTCTTGACAAGTCTAATTTCAATGAGGTATAGGGGCAAAGGCAATATCAGGGAGTACATCCTAGAGATGTCTCATCTTGCTTCAAAATTGAAAGCAATTAAGCTTGAACTTTCTGAGGACTTGCTGGTGCATCTGGTTTTGATATCCCTTCCGGCACAGTTCAACCAGTTTCTTTTGTTGTTTCTTCTACTCCACAGAAGTAACAACCTGTACCTTCCGGTTTGATACAGTTAGGGACCTTGTCTTTGAAGAGGAATATGTTGATATTCCCACAGGTGCTATTGACATTGATCAGGATCTCATTTCTGACCTTGTTCAAGACACAACAAATCAAGACAATGTTAGAGAACCTCTCATACAAGAAGTTGTTCCAGAAGAACAAACTCTACCACTTCAAGAACATATGCCATTAAGGAGGTCCACTAGAGAAAGGAAAAGTGCAGTGTCAGATGACTACAATGTATTTACTCCCACAGAACTTATGGTATATGCAATCATCGACCAAATTCATCTCAAAACCGAACGAGATGATCACTTGATGAAACTTGAAATACCATTGTCGAGATGCTTGTTTGAGTCCATAGATGGATTTCCTAAGTTTGCAAACCATATTCTTTGGGTCTCCCGACACAAAGTTTTCTGGTTGCACCATATAGATTGTCTCATCAATGTTTCCATTGAGAAACGTTGTCTTTACATCCATCTGATGTAACTCAAGATTGAAATGCGCCACTAATGTCATTATAATCCTAAAAGAGTCTTTTGAAGAAACCGGAGAGAAAGTCTCTTTATAGTCGATGCCTTCCTTTTGTGTAAAGCCCTTTACGACAAGACGCGCCTTATACCTCTCCACATCGCCTTTTGAATCCCTCTTGGTCTTAAATATCCATTTGCAACCAATAGGTTTCGCTCCTTCTAGCAATGGGTCTTAAATATCCATTTGCAACCAATAAATTCTGTGGGAGTAAATACATTTTTCTGGTTTTATATGTCGATGACATTTTGCTTGCCAGCAACGATATAGGCTTATTGCACGAAACCAAGAGATTTCTAGCTAAGAATTTTGAGATGAAAGATCTTGGTGACGCCTCTTTTGTATTAGGCATACAAATACACCGGGATCGCTCTCGGGGTATTCTTGGATTATCACAAAAGAGCTATATCGAAAAGGTTCTCAAGAGATATGGCATGCGGGATTGCAAACCAGGTAACACCCCTGTGGCTAAGGGAGACAAGTTTAGTCTCAATCAGTGCCCTAAGAATGATTTTGAGGAAAAGGAAATGCAGAAGATTCCTTATGCGTCAGCAATAGGAAGTCTAATGTATGCTCAGGTTTGTACGCGTCAGGATATTGCGTACGTTACTGGGCTGTTGGGCAGGTATTTAAGAAATCCAAGAGTAGACCATTGGAAAGCAGCCAAACGGGTATTGCGGTACTTGCAGAGAACAAAAGACTACATGCTCACGTATCGGAGGTCGGATCAGCTTGAGATCGTTGGGTATACTGACTCCGATTTTGCTGGATGCCTAGATAGTATGAAATCTACGTCGGGCTATATCAACCTGCTAGCTGGAGGTGCTGTCTCCTGGAAGAGTGCTAAACAGTCTCTTATAGCCTCTTCTACCATGGCAGCAGAGTTCATAGCATGTTATGAGGCGTCCAATCACGGAATATGGTTGCGGAATTTTGTCACGGGGCTGCGTATAGTGGATGACATTGAAAGGCCACTCAAGTTATTTTGTGACAATAAGTCAGCAGTGATGTATTCCAACAACAATAGGAGCTCGACGAAGTCAAAGCATATAGACATCAAGTTCCTAGTTGTCAAGGAAAGAGTTCAAAGTGGACAATTGTCTATAGAGCACATCGGTACAAACTCCATGGTTGCGGATCCGCTTACTAAGGGATTGCCACCCAAAGTGTTTCATGAGCACACTGCTCATATGGGTGT